GGAACCGACTCGACGGCACTTAACAACAACAACAAGGTGGCGAGGGTCAGAGAAAAAGAGGAAGACCTCCAGTGAGATGGACTAACAATGTGGCAGCACCAATGGGCTCAAGAGTGGCAACAATTGTGAGGTTGGCCCAGAACAGGGCAGTTGTGCATAAGGATATTCTGTTGTGCACAGGGTCGGTTTGAGTCAGTACAGACTCGACAGCACCTAACAACAACTGTAAAAGTTGAGCGATCATCAAGCATACTTTTATTCTCTGTTCCTGAGTTAAGAAGTATATATAATTTCATTTACTAAATGAGCTGGGAAAAGTATTAAATAATCAGAGATCTTGCCAAAATTATCCCATGCTTCTTTCATGCATTTAAGGAAGAAAGAAACCATTCATTCACAAAAAAAGATACCCATTGCTCACAAAAAGTAAAAGAAGAAATTAACTAATCAGGTATGAACACTAGAGTTTATCCCCACAAGGGAAAGAACTTTTGCATCATTCACTCCTGTCTCCAGGTATCTAGAATAATATCCGCTACGTAACATATGCTCAATGAATACTTGCTAAATGAATGAATGGATTACACTTATTAGAAATAATTATGATCAACTTGTATTTTCAGGTTGCTGTTTTCTGAAGGCAGGCCTTGGGAGAGTCTGATACTAACAGACTGAAAGTCAAAGACTGTAAAAACAAATAATCCAGTTCTGGTAGCATAGTGGTTATGAATCGGGTTGCAAACCACAAGGTCAGCAGTTCAAAACTACCAGCTGCTCTGTGGGAGAAAGATGAGGCTTTCTGCTCCTGTAAAGATTTAAAGCCTCAAAAACCCTGTACAGGGTCACTATGAGTCAGTACCGACTCCACGGCACATAACCACCACCTCCATAGTAACCAAAGCAGAGGTGCCATATTGATATCAGACAAAATCGATTTTAAGTAAACATCTGTTAATGAACAAAGAAGAATAATGATAAAAGGGGAATGTATCAGGAAGATAGAGCAATATATGCACTTAACATCAGTGCCCCAAAATATGTGAAGCAAATACTGACAGAACTTAAAGAGTAATAGATAAACTTTACAATAATATTTGAGGACTTTAATACACTTTAAATATTGATTTTGAACAGCATCATCAATCAATTAAGGCCTTGGAAGAGTTCTATTATTTTACAAAAACAGTTTCCCCAACTACTCTTATAGAATATCTCAAGAGAAAGAAAAGACAACTTGATTTCTTTTACATTATAAAACAGATTATACTGTCTTAATTGAACCAAAAACAGAGAACCTTGGAAAAAATGTTCTATAAAACATTGTTTCAATATAATTTTATTAGCAATTACATTAAAATTCACATTTACAGGACTGTTTTAGAAAATTCTAAAGGATATGTAATTAGATCTTTAGAGCAAGATAGAACCTATTCTCATAGCACAGCCCTTAAAAAAATCAAGAATAATACTGAGAATTAAGTGCAGTTCTATCAAGAACTAGAAATGAACTCTGCGTGCACAGTGTCACTTAAAGCAAAGTTCCACAGAAGTATAAGATACGTCTATGAATACGAATTTCAACGGCAAACATCACTGGCTTCCATAGAACTGACATAAATGGGGTTTCCAATCAAAACACAAGTGCAGTGGCTTTCATGCAATATACAGCTATGATAATTCTATACAGAGGCCCTGAATCCTTAAGTATTTGTAACATGATTTTATGCTGAGACACTAGTAAAAAAACACATCAACTTTAATGCAAGATTGTGACACATTATGAACAACAGGATACTACAGAAAGCCTTTTTATATAGCAGAAAATGCTGTTTTCCAGTGTAGTATATAGAGGCTGGTCATTGCTGATCTAGTGAAATTCTACGTCCTCCAGTTTGAGCAGTATTGTAGGATTCACAAATATTACATTTCATGCCTAATATATGGAACTGGACTGTGGATCGTCCATTGCAATCATTGCAGAGAATCTGAAAAGTGAAGAAATTAAGTGAAATTAAATATATTAAATCTTATAAATATATGTATATATACACAAGGTGGCATTTAGTGCTCAAAATAATACCTTGAATATCATATTGAGTATGTGGAAATATACTAATACAGCCAAAACAATCTCAAAAATAGAAACACCTTTTATTTTTTCATTGAAAATTCTGAGAGGTCATTAAGGTAGCTTTGAATTCTGAAAATGAAAACGCAGATGTCAGCAAAGGAGACTTATTTTAAAATAACTTCCAAATAATATAAATAGTACTAACAAGAACATTATTTTAGGCATAATCAGATCAATACCAAATTCAAAATAACATATAATTTCTATAATTTTTCATTGACACTTAGAAATATCTATCTTAGCTTTATTAACTGAGATTTTTACCTATAATAATTTTGCTTATTCTTTAAGGTTCAATATATCACATTAGTAATTGCCTATGATTTAGGACTTAATTCAAGTCCAAAGTGGAGTCCTGGTGTGGCGCTATAGGCTAATGCGTCAGAAAGCAAAGTCGTTTGAACTGCAAGGTCGGTAGTTCAAGCTCACCAGCTGCTCCTTGGAAACCTTATACAGGGTTGCTATGGGTCAGAATCGACTCGACAGCACTTAACAACAACAGGGAATAGTTCCTAAAATTAAGTACAGAAAGGCTGTTGGCTCATCCATAAAACACAGTAAGATGCCAGTTAGGAATTAATCTCTTGTAGTACTGAGGTCTTGAAAAAAATTTAAGTTTTAACCTAAAAATAAACCAATATATTACTATGTTGGAAAAAAGCATTGGCTTTAGAACTGTGACAAGCAGAAAAGAAAACTTCTAACTTTGCTCCAAAGTATAATTTGGAGAAAAAAAATTTTTTTAATATGTTCAACACAGAAACAAAGTTCATTGTTCCTATAGCTGAGGTGGTGTTGGGGGTATGCTCATGGGTCTATAGCTTCTTTTTGAGGCGCTAAAACATGTTCTAAAATTTATTGTGGTTATGTCTGCATAACTACAAATATACTTAAAAACCAGAGTTACACACTCTAAATAGAGGAGTTTTATGGCATATAAACTATATCTCAACAAAGCTGCTATAAAATAGATTATCTACTTGAAACAGCACATTTCAGTCTCTAGTAAAACATCAGACATCAATTAGTATTCCAAAAGTGGTCTTTTCTTGTCCTTACAAAGAGTTTAATTATCTACATGAATCATAAAATGCTCCAGTTTGAATAAAACAAAACATTATTTTTATTTGGCTTTGGTATATAGTTTTTATGGAACTCTAATCATGTTACAGTTTATTGCTCAGTTGCTAACCAAAAGGATAACAGTTCAAGCCCAAACAATGACTCTACAAGAGAAAGACTTGGTGATCTGCTCCTCTAAAGATTTGTTGTTGTGAGGTGCCATGGAAACAATTTGAACTCATAATGACGCTGTAGAGGGCTTCCAAGGAGTGTCTGATGGGTTTGAAACAACAACCTTGAAGTCAGTAGTCCAGTGCTTATCCTACAGTTCCACACTAAGACTCCTCCCTAAAGATTATAGCCTAGGAAACCCTGTGAGGTCAGGTCGTTTTGTCATACAGCGTTACCATGTACTGGGATCATCTCAAAACACCTCACAACATGTGGCTTTTATCTTTGATTGTAGAAGTACTATGTGCAAAAATATTTAAATTACATTGAATATGTTCAGAAAATTACTAATATGATGGTGTCAAAAAGTACTGCTATGAAGCTCTGGGAACAAACAAGAACAGGGCTGTAAGGGTAGGTAGGGTTTCCCACTGAAATTCTCACAGCAAATCCCTTGCTACCCTCAAAAATGAGCAGGAGCTTTGTCATGGTGGAAAAAATGTCCTCTGTTCAACTTTTTTGGCCTTTTTCTCAACAACACAGTTTTCCATTTTCTGAAAACTTTCTATGTCATTGGAGAAAATCTATCAAGATTACCCCCTTTGAAGTGGGGGGAATGAGACTAGGAACCACAGAGAGGAAGTGGGATAACTAGTTACATGGAGGAGATTGCAATCACTGAGATGAAACAAACTAGAAAGATTTCTTGAATATAAAACTGATGAAGATCCTGCCTGTAAACCTTTAGGTCAATACACAATAAAAAGTTTAAAAATACAAACAAACAACAAAAAGATTATTTCTTTGAAACCCAAAACAACAGTGTCCACCACCTCCTGAGCTCATCTCTCTGCCTTGAATGTAACTGGCACAGAGATCCCCTACTCCACCATTCTCTTGATTTAATCTTTTTTTAACAGCAGCCAATGAGACAAGTATATTACTAAGAGAACTTGTCTGCAGCCAGCCACTGATCAGAGACGTGTTTAAAAACATTTTATTTGGAATAAGCCCAAAGCATGTATGAACCCTAGCAACAATTCTTTTTCACTAAACCTTATCTGTTCAAAAATTGTTATAAAGTACCAGAGAAAGTTACCTAAACTTTCCAATTCTGACCTGTAACTCAAATGTTATGGTGAGAACAGATAGTAACACTTCTTAACTGAAAGAAAAAAAAAGCAAGAGGCACAAATATATACTTTTTGTACTTTAGGTTGAAGACTTTGTTGTTGTGTGCCATCAAACACATTCCAACTCATGGTGCCCCAGCAGGACAGAGGAGAACTGCTCTGTAGGGGGGTTCTTAAGCTATGAACTTTACAGGAGCAGAGCACCAGGTCTTTATTCTCACAGAGCAGCTGGTGAGTGGGAACTGTGGACCTTCACTTAGCTGTCCAATAGTTAACCACTGTGCCACCAGGGCTCCAAAGACTGCAGACTAATAGAGACCAGATATAGTCTTAGATATTTTTAAAAGGGTGATAAAAAGTAAAATTGAAAATCAAAGTAAAACAAAATCAAACATCAACCCCGTGATCCACCTGCAGTCAGTTTACATTACTGATTCTGGCAAATGGTATGTAAACACATCAGAAGAAAGTTGTTGCCTGCCATCTAGTGTTGGAAAGAACTGCAAAAAGGTATTATAATGGTTTGTCTGATCCAAGCTCAAAGTAACTAAAATTTAAAGTCTTTTGTCCTGCCCATGACATCTGTGTTAACATAGTAGTTTTGAGACAAAATCTGGGGGAAATGGCCAAAATGCATAACACACTGACAAGGATCTTGGAAAACTTATACATATTGGCTGTACTCACATCCACAGTCATGTTCTGATACTCTGATGGCATAGGAGTCTGTGCTACCTCATCATCCAGCTGTCTCCAGTACCGAGTCATGTCGAGCGCTGAATGCATACATAACGGACATCTGTAGCCTCTAAAAGAGATCCAAGGGTTATCTGCCAATCATCAACTAGTGAGTGTACCAACTCAGGGATACAGGGAGACACAAACTAACTGAAATAGAAACCATCCAAGGCAGGGCATCACCTTACGTTTCAAGATAGCCTATTAGGAACCTGGAAACTTTTACAATGTAAAAATTTTAAATAAAATCCTGTTTTGAAGGTCTACTCTAAACCAGCTTCTTCTCCTCAGTCTTAAAATGGAAAGGAATTAATCCAGAGTCTTAGCAGTGCCATGGAGCCGACCCATGGAGTCCTTGGAGTCCCAATGCCATGGAGTCAATTCCCACTCACAGCGGCCCTACAGAGGACAGAGTAGAACTACTGCTTATGTTTACTGAGACTGTAAATCTTGGCAGACACAGCCTGCCTCCTTGCTCCCGTGGAGTGGCTGATGAGTTTCAACCACCTACCTTGCAGTTAGCAGCACAATGCTTAGCCCACAAGCACCAACCAGGGCTCCTTTCATAGAACAGTTTTATGTAGAACAGTTTTCTATATATGTATATGTGTGTGTGTTTATGTGTGTATGTATGTATATATAATGTTTTTGTTAAGTGCTGTCAAGTCGGTTCTGACTCACAGTGACCCTGTATAGGGTTTCTGAGGAGCAGCTGGTGAGTTTGAACTACCGATCTCGTGGTTCACAGTCTAGGGCTGATACAATACACAGCACCACACCAGAAGTCATGTGTGTGTGTGTGTGTGTGTGTATATATATATATATGTACACACATACAGAGCGCCACTTTAATACATTATGCAAGAAACTGTATTCCCTAAACATACTCAGATGACATTTTTCCTTTCCAAAATTTCTAAAACAGTTCCTCTATTATCTAGCTCTCGAATCAAATTAAAATTTCTGTTCATCAATTTGTAGGATCAATTTAGTCTCTCCTCTTTCCTAAGTATTCTCACATCATTTTAGCATCCTTCCCCAATAGTACATCATTAGTTCTAGATAATCTCTTTACTAGCTTTCTTCGCAGCAAGAGCCCTGGCAGAGCTGTGGGTTAGGTGTGAGGCTGCTAACTGAAGCACAATAGTTCAACCCACCAGTAGCTCCACAAGAAAAAAATGATGCGGCCTGATCCCATAAAGAAGGGGAGGGGAAACTTCTTTCTGCCAAGGGCTATTTGGATATTTGTAACATCATTTGCAGACCATACAAAATTATCAGCTTAAAAGTTAGCCTGCTGTATTTAGTCAAACATTTAATTAACTCACCTCCAATGTGATGGATAGAACTGCAATTGGCTTGGCAGGGCCAGACCAAATGATTTTGCAGGCTTGATACGGCATATGGACCAAATGTTCCCCACCCCTGCCATAAAGGTTTACAGTCTCAGAAACCCTATAAAGGGTCACTCTTGAGTCGGAAATGACTCAATGGCAATGAATTTGGTGTTTAGGTTGTTACACTGGGCCAGGTTAGTAACATGTTAAGAGAATTTTGTGCAACATTCCTCAGTGGTATTATAATGCTATAAATGCCACTGGCAGAGGCTGTGTTGTTGTTGTTGTGAAGTGCCATCAAGTCAGTTCTGACTCAGTAATCTGTATAAAGTTTCCACGGAGCTGCTGGTGGGTCTGAACCACTGTCCTTCCTTCCAGTCCATACTGTACTCCCTCATAAATACAGCCAGAAAACAAGAGGTATCTCTCTCAAATTGAGGGATGAAATAAGACAATAGAGACATGGGAACAAAGGTATAGTTATATACCCCAAGGTGCTTTGTCTAGTACAGGTATCTATCATGCCCAACTAGTATAAGTAACAGTATTAGCCCACCTCCCCAAGAGGCAAAAAAACAAAGAACATCTTAAGAATATAATTATTTTTAAATCCCACCGAACACTCACTCTTTCAACATTTCTTCATAACATGTTCTGAAAGAAAATATAACATTATTTTAGTAGGACAAAAACTATTTCCACTATTTTCAAACATCACTGAGGGACAAAATAGCAAAAGTATTTTACCTATGTAAAAGATGCCCACATGGCAAAACATGAGCAACAACACGAGAGGTGTGGATGTCCTACAAAGAAAACAAATGTATGCGTTAATATAAAAACTATATAAATATCCAAATATTTTTAATTCAAGAGGTGAGATTCTCAAAGTAAAAATCAACAAAGTTATATTTAAAGCTTACCTCCAGGCATATTGGACAATTCTGCCGGGAGACATTTTCAATACACTGTTTAAAAAAGAAAGTCACATTACCAAAAGCTTAAGCAGATGAAGAGGTCAATAAAACAACAAATATTTTACTGTAAACAAATAAAAGAACATTAATATCAACCAACTAAAGGTAGTAACACTGATACATGCTTCCAATATGACAGATAAGAGACTTTTAGGCAGCAATGAAGATATGGGCTGAGTTCAACCACATTCCATAGACTCCTGTTGACCTGGAGATGAGAGAAAGAAGAAGAAGGGCTGGTTGGTCCAAAGTGTGGTGAGACCTGGGGACTCCTGACCCATGGACAAGGACATAGCCATGGAGGGCAAGAGCTGAGAGTAAAGCATCCAGCTGATATGAAGTGAGCAGAAACACACAAGAACACCCAAACTTGCTATCTAGTACCCATTTGACCTAGCCTCAATGGCTTGATAATCAGAACTTGACTAGAAGAAGATAAAAAAATTTTTTTTATTAAGGAAACAAGTGTAAACTGCTACAATTTGGTGAACTTGACCTATACTTATAGATGTAGTAGCTTAAAATATCAAGTGAGAGGGAAGGAGTCTTCACATCAAGTATCAATCCTATCCCCTCTGTATACCGGGTAGATAGGGACGGGCAACTTAGACATTGGCTACCCAAAATGGGGGTGCTATAAAGGCATGAAAGGAGTCCTGGTGTGGTGCTGTGGGTTAATGTGCCAGACTGAAAACCTGTTTGAACTGCAAGGTCGGCCATTCAAGTTCACCAGCTGCTCCTCAGAAACCTTATATAGGGTCGCTATGGGTCGGAACCGACGTGACGGCACTTAACAACAAAAAAAAATAAAGGCATGAAGTGACTGTCTTACAAGATTTCAAGGGGGATTTTAATTTAAAAGTGTGCAGGGGAAGGTAGAGACCCCACAGAATAGTTTTCAACTTGTCTAGATAGGTCTAGGTCTGGTGGAAAGATAGGGGGATAAAATTTTTATGATTCAATAGTGATTAACTGTTATCATGACTAACTGCAACTGTTAAAACTGTAAAGGTAGAAGTTTTGTAACAAAAATGGGGGAGCAGTTAATCTACAGTCCAGAAACAGAGGACCCTATGACTATCAAGAGAGAAGAGCATTAAGTGGAATATGAGACCCTATTTGGAGAAGCAGTGACACCAGAGATGGAGGCAGAGATGAGGACATGAAGAGAGGGAGTAACTGAGGACTCTAGACTCATG